CTTGTTCTAGTTAAAAAGTCAGCCTACAGCAGTGATGGCAAACCTTTTAGAGTTTTCAACGATAACAGCCCACTGCAGCATGCTTGCCATAGGTTTGCCAGTACTGGCCTATAGGCTAGTTTTCAAACAAATTTCTACAGAGTCACTGGATTCCAGAAGAAATTTGCAAATAACAGAATTCAAACTCATCTCAAATTTTTTTAGATCTGGAAATAATGAAGTTTAGCAGTTCAATGATACCATCAAGAGCAAAGGCTTAGCCAGGCATGGTGGTGGTGCACACTTATAATCTCAGCACTCAGGAGGTGGAGACAGTAGGATCAACATGAGTTCAAGGCCAGCCTGGGCTACACAGTGAATTCAAGGCCAGCTTGAACTACATAGTGAGATACTGTCTCAAAAAGAAAAAAGGGAAAAACCCACAGGCTTAGCCCAGCATTGTAGTACATGCATGTAACCATAGCGTTCTGGGAGTCTGAGGTAGGAGGATCACAAATTTGAGCTTAGACTGGATAACTTAGGAAGATCCTGTCTCAAAATTTAAAAGAAATGTGGGCTGGCAATGTGGCACAGTACAAAGGGCTTGGGTTCAAACCCCCACATGGATTGGGAGACAGGCAAGAGACAGAACAAGAATACAACTTTTCCATCTCTCTGCTTTACTACCCTGGCACATGCCAACTCCTATGCTTATACTTGGTTTCTCATGGTTTCCAGTGATTGCTGCAGATCCAGCCATTGTACCTTCACACATCCATGTACAAAAGTAGGAAAAAGCAGTTTGCTCTCATTTTTGTATGAGAAAAAACCTAGCCCAGTATCCATGCAGCAAACTTCCTTATATATTCCATTCAAGGTTGCATCACATGCTCATGCCTAAAGAAACCATTAGTAAAGAAAATAAAATCACCATGCCAGGGTTAGGCTAATCAAAGTTTATCCTGAGACTAAACAGGTACCAACTTCTCTGGGCTCATGAGTGGACAAACAACCAAACAATACCAGGTGTTGAAGGAACTAAGCTAACCTGAGGTAGTTTCATTCACTGGTATTCTAAAGCTAGTTTACCTGTCACTTGGTTTCAGTACAAATGATAAAATCCTAGTTGGGATTTTAAAAGAGGATATTATCAACTCACATAATTGAGAAGTCCAGGGATAGACACTGGCTTCAGATACACCTGAATGCTGGTGGTCAAATGTTATCACTAAAATGTGGCCTTGCTCTCTCCAGCTCTCAGTTTTTCTTTCCTCTGAATTGGCTTTAATTTCAGGACGGTTCTCCCCTGTTGGTGACATGACCAAAATCAAGTCCCAGAACTCTCTGACTTTGATCCCTCTGGCTCAATCCACATGTCAGTTGCTAGACAACTCACTGAGGGTAGGAGAACACAGTATTCTGATTGGCTGTATCATATTCTTCTCCTCATCTTAGGGAGGGATGTACTATAAGCAGGAAGGGTAACAGGTGGTGGATTTGCAAAAACAACAACAGATACTACATAAATACTTGAAAAAATTTACATATTTTTGCTTCTATGTAACCTGGACATTGTAAAGTGCATCAATTCATTTCACAAACATTTGTTGAATGTTAACCATGTGCCAGACACAGTGTATTGGGGAAGTAAGTAAGATATAACCTCTCCCACAGAGGATGCTAGTCCTCTGCCACTGGCCCACCATTTGACCCTGAATGGGCTCCTTGACCTCTCAGATTCTCCACTCCATCTATAACAGGAAACAGCCAGCATGCTTGATTTCTGAACAGCTTTCTTATGCTATATTCAATTAAGTTTTACTTCTTTCCTGTGAACTGCTTGAGATACTTTTTCTAGATGGTATCAAGCAGACTGATTTGATTCTACTTGCATGACTTGTCACCCACCATGTAGGAACAGAGGAGACAGGAGTGACGTCCACCATGAGGCTCTCGATGATGGCATGACGGGATTTGGGCATCTGGTTTACTGACCACAGCTCAGACACCTGGTGGGTGATCACTGTCAGTCAGTCCATTGAAGAAAGGGGGTCTGCACAGGGGACGGGGTGAGGGAGACACCACTGGGGAGGAAGCTCTGAACTACAGACAATACTTGTACTACTCACTTCCCAGCCCCTGGGAGAGCCACTTCCAAGCCAGGCTAAAGGTAGCTTCTGCAGACTGCAAGCTAAAATTAGCAGCACGTGTGAAGCTGGCTCCTTCAGACTGATTGCAGGGCCCTCAAGGTGCTGCCTTCTCCTGATTACTCATGATGCTGCCTTGCAAGGAAATGGTGTCAGGAGCTTAAAATGTTCTGTGACCCTTAAAAGACAGACTACTGTAGCCAAGTAATAATCCTTTACTTTTCCCCCTAAGTGACAAGCACAGTCAGAGGTAAGAGGCTAACGGCTTCACGAGGGGAGTGGGGCAGCTTGGGCACTGCACAACATCAGGAGATGACATGCGTGCTGCAGTCTAAGAACTCTAGGTGAGTGGTGCCCCCTACAGTCACAGGGTTCAACCTATTCCGCTATGTGAGGTAGAACTTAAGGCCGAGACGAACACGTAAACTGAAAAGGCTGCCAATGGCAGGAATCCAGAGAATGTCAATCAACCAACACATAATTAGTTTGGGTAATAGCAGAGTCTGCAGGTGCCCTGCCCATATCCCAAAAGGCCACCTATAGGCAATTCCTATGCATGGTTGTGGCTTCCTGTGTCTCTCGATCTAAACATGTTCTCTAGATACAGGTACCCAGGAGATACTGCTCCCAAGAGGGACTCTCAGTAAATACACGGACCATTGTGGGACAATTCTGAATTATTTTCTACTGTCTGAGAGATGTTTGGTCCTATAAGGCTTCCATTAGCCACGTCAGACTGTTGAGCACTTGAATTGTGGTTAGTCCAAGGGAAAGAGCAAAATGAAAACTCGATCTCAAAGACTTGGAATGAAAAAAATGTAGTACATCTCACTCATAATTTTTATACTGATTACACACTGAAAGGATACACTTTAGATATACTGGGCTAAATTAAAGATATTATTAATATTAATATTACCTTTTGCTTTTTACCTTTGTGATGTGGCTCCAAGATGATCTAGATTTGCACATGTGGGCTGCATTATCTCTGTTGAATACAGCAGTCATACAAGGTGCCCAGCAGGACTGTAGCGGGTGGCAACTCACTCTGTCACACCTTTTTTTTGTCCTCTTTTCTTTTGTCTCACTTTCCTTCTCCTTATGTGGGATTATTCTGAAATAAATTGATTATACCCAAACTTTGTCTTGAGGCATTCTTTGGGGTTAACCCAAACTAAGAAACAGACCTATTGTGTACAGAGACCGATCTTCATACCCACCTTTCCTTATATTCAGTTTGGGTCACCTGGGGGAGATAAAGACACCAACACTGCAGGTTAAATACCTGGTTTTGTTTTGAATCAGCATCTTTCACTGCATCAGGCTGGCCTTTAGTTTACGAAGTAGCCCAGACTGGCCTTGAACTCAGGTGGCCATCCTCCTATCTCAGCCACCTGAGTGCTTAGATTACAGGCATGGGCCACCATGCCCAGCAAAATGCCTGACTTTAATAACAGAACAAGAGGTGGGCATGATTACCTGACAAGTACGTAGTACAGAGTGTCAGAAGAAATTACATTAATACAAAGTGTATGAACTAGGAAGGAGATTTCTTCTCAGTCCCACAAGATCTAACTATGCCCAGTTTGCTGCCAAAGAACAACTGAGAGATGTGAAGTTTGAGCAAGGTCCTAGACTCAAGGACTGACTTTGATGCCTGACATCAACAATGCATTTTATTTTGTGGGGAATATGCTTTCAATTACAGTGTGTATGTGTGTATTTGTGTTGAGAGGGAGTGAGGGAGGGAGGGTACTAGACTTGATTCTCTTGTTTCATTCATTTTCCTGTTAACAAAGCTATCAGGGAGAAGCAGATGCAGCTTATTTCAGAGAATTCACACAAAACATGCTTTCCACAAAGAGATCAAATGCTCTCCCTGCTTCCCATTAGCCCTGTCCTATCTGTGACTGAGAAGAGCAACTGTGCCATTGCCATGGGTGGGGTGCATTGGAGCAGCATTGGTGATGCTTGCCACTATGGATACTGCAGGGCGGGAAGCAAAGTAAATGACCTGTGGCTTTCAGGAAGAAGACACAAACTCCACTACTGTCCAGTACTTGAAAGCAGGCAGTTAAATCAACCAGAGAGGGCCATGAAAGAAGTAACTTAAATTTCTGAAGGATCAAGATTCTAGCAGAAGTACTCATTCCTCCATTTCCTAGTCTTCTATATAAGAATGACGATCACTTAAGAGTATACCCAATAAAGCAGTCACACACCATGTAATAATGTTTTGGTCAACGATGGATCTCGTGTACAATGACAATAGACTGAAAAATTCCTGTCACCTAGTGACATCATAGCATCATAGCACAATGCCTTACTCATGTTTGTGGTGACACTAGTGTAAACAATCTACTGAGCTGCCAGTTGCATAAAAGTCTAGCACACATTATTATTATGTATTATTATGTATAGCATGTAGTACTTAATAATGACAAATTGTTATTTTACTGGTTTATGTCCTTATTGTACTATATTTTGTATCATTATTTTACAATGTACTCCTTATCAAGAAATCAGTGAAATGTTGTGCTGTGTTATGACAGCAGTGGTTTTATGCATCTCACATCTACTGTGTCTCTTGACTGCAGCAAGAAGCCATGTTGAATGATTGACCTGCACCATCTAGCTTTCTGTTAAGTACATGCTGTGATGTTCACACAACAGCAAAATCACCTTAAAATGCATTTCTCAGAATGCAATGCCATTGTCAAGAGACACGTGACTCAATGTATTTCCCCTGAAGAGTAAATTCATTTTTCATGGGTGCTGTCCAAGGTACCAAAAGGCGTCTCTTGGGAGCACAGTTGGGATTTGTACAGAACTCCTCCATAAACTTAGAGAGGTAAAACATTGCTCGCAATAAGCAGGTGGTCATCACTGTCTGTACTGATGGAAGTGCATGTTATACATAGCATTTCTTTCATTTAGTCTTACTTCAAATGTCCTGTTCTGATTTAAAGGTAAGTCCCTTTAAAATACATAGAATCAGGGAATTAAGGTTTTTCCATCAATTCAATTGAAAAGACTGGAAAGTACATTTTATCTCATTGATGATACTCTTTCTTATGCCCAGCTGAAATCTCTCCTGCTTGAATGTGGAAGTTCAAATTCAAATGTCTACAAGGACCACGGGGTAAAGTAAATGACTAAAGTGGGACATTTTAAATAGCAGCTGCTATGGCTCCAGATGGAGGAGACAACAGACACGAGCAGACCAGCTAGCAGGAGAGCACCGCTTTGTCCAAAGGGAAAGGTTTCCACTGAGCTGCCATCGTGCCCAGCAGGCTGTCTACTTACTCAAGAGAAGTCCCAGTCCTGCAAGGTTATCTACTAACTCAAGAGAAACGAAAAACTCTCTCACTTTTAAACTTGTTAAAGTATGTAATTCAATTTCTTAAAATTCACAGTAAGCCGAAAGAAATATCCCTGTGTTGAATCCCACCCACAGGCTGCAACTTAGCAACTTGTTTGAGGCAAACCCTTTTCCTTGAGATCTTATACACCTTGAGGGTTAGAAGATACGAACGAAAGTGGGTATCTTCCTTCCCACTGCACAGATGGAAAAATGAAGCTACAAAACAAAAAGGAAGATTTCAAATTCACTGGAAGAACTGAGAGCAAAGGCCCAAACATCTGTTACCAAGTACACTAAATTAAAAAGGAGTACGAGATCATTACAGTGCACAAGCACTTGGAAAGGAAGTTCACTACAGAAAAGAATGTATGAAGGACTGAGAGTAGTACCTGGTGTGGGCTGAGTGCTTTATAAACGTATATTGCAGAAGCTGCTGAGCAAATGTCAGCTTGTGGACATATCGTGGTTGTTCATCCTAGCAGTTCTTTATAAAGCACTTTTAATCATAGCAGCTTTGAATTACATTAATGAGCAGACGGCTAGCTGTATGATGTTCTCTCAGCCTCGGTTCTGCATCTGTAAAACAGGAACAATATCTAACCTGACCATTTGCTTTGTTTGTTTTTCGTTTTTTGAGACAGGGTCTCACTATGTAGTTGAGACTGACCTGGAATCACTTTGTAGCCCAGGGTGGTCTCGAACTCACAGCAATCCTCCTGCCTCAGCCTCCAAGTGCTGGGATTACAGGCGTGTGCCACCACACCCGGCTTAACTTGACCATTTGTGAGGAAGATATGAGATAGCACCCAATACCACCCACAAACATTGAGTATAAATGAACACACAGACATATGCCTCATATAAATATATATACATGATAAATAGGCATAAATACAGATATATGAATACATAGAAATAATACAGTCAACCCTGCGTATCTGCTAGTTTTATGATCAACCAGCCACAAAACTGTGCAGTTAGGACTCTCATAGTTGCGTCTGTACTGAACATATACAGAGTTTTATTTCTTGTCATTATTCCCCAAGCAATACATTGTGACAACTACTTACATCCTATTTATATTGTATTAGGTGTTACAAGTATCCGGGGATGATTTCAAGTATGAAGAAAGAAGCAAACAGGTTATATGCAAATGCTGTATGTCATTTTATATAAGAAATTTGAGAATCTAGATGTTTGATATCTGAAGGGGGCCCTAGAACAAATCTCTTGGGAATACCAAGGAACAACCATACTTATATTTATATAAGACCCATTATGGTAATTATTTCACAGAATACTATGCCGGAAGTCAGGAGAATATAGTAGAAATAGAAAAAGTTTAATGAAAGGTCACAAATTTGGATTCCATCCAAACCGAGTTGGAATCTAGTTCTGTCATTTACCAGCTCAGCCACCCTGGTAAGTTATTTAAATTGTTTAATAATAAGTACCCCTTAATAGGTGGTAAACAAATGAGATTTGTTACCCTCACTAAGTTGTATAACACAGATATGATTATCTTCAAGATGGCAAGACCCTACTATACTTCCTAAATACTAATTTAATCTCATTAATAACAGACATGATAAATCTAAAATGGTTTTTAATCACAGCACAGCAGGGGGCTGGACTAGGTCACCTCTGAGTAGTTCTACCAGCCCTGCATGGGATTCTGATTTTTCAGGATGCATCACTGTTCTATCACAGCTGTGTTCCAGGTGGCTTAGCCTTTTCAACAGCTTTGCTTTGAAGGTGTCATGAATATTTAAATATACTTTAGGCTAAACATTTTTCACACTTCTCAATTCACCTACAGTCCAGAGCTGGGTTTTGTTTGCAAGAAGCTCATTTTTGTGATGTTGTATGTTGTCACATGTGCATCTAAATCCACAGGCATTGTGTTAGACACACACATTCGGATCTTCAAGGTGTGTGTATGTAAATTCCCTCCCTTAAATTCTAACACTGGGCTCGGAAGTCAAAGCCTATAGTTAAAGCCACTGATATGACCTCAGGTCCAAATCAGCAGCTTTGCGATAAGTAAAGATGTACTGATTATTTGGGAATGATCTACAATGTTCCACTGTAATTATCATAGGCTATGACATCAAGACTACACTAGCCAGACAAAGCTAATGTCCCCTTTACTGTCTTGATAACAAGGAGGTGAATGAGCCACAAAATGTTGGGGCGGGGGGGTAGAGTGTTAAATACACATAGATATGTGTATTTTTTCTCTATGTATGTATTTTCTATTTTCCATGAAATCCCACTAAAACAAGCATAAAGCTATTTTTAAAAAGGACAAATTCACCAGAGTGAAGAGAATTGGGAAGGAAAAAATAAAATTCTAGAAACTGAAAGTAAATTTCAGTGGATAAAGCTGAGAACCCAGGATGAGAAATACTAGGGCCTCTAGAAACATAGGTAAAGGGGACTGGGACTGTACCTCAGTAGCTTGCACAAGGCCCTGGGTTGTATCCTCAGCATGAAGGAGAGAAGGAAAGGGAGAAAAAGAAGGAAAAGAGGAGGAAGGGCGGGAAGGAGGAAGGAGAGTAAATCACACACTGTATTAGCTATCTATTGCTATATAACAAATTATTACAGTTATGCAGCAGTTCACAGTAACAGATACTTATTGTCTAACTTCATTTATGAGGGTAAGAGACCTGGGAGCAACACAGTTGGGTACGGCTTAGGGCCTTGATGAGGCTTCACTAAGCTGTCAGCAGGGGGTTTGGTGTCATCTGAAGGCTTGACTGGAGCTCAGGACCCACTTCCAAAGTGATTCACTCACGTGGCTACTGACAAGAAGCCTCCATTACTAGCTAGATATTGGCATGAGGCCTCAGTTCCTTGCCATTTGAGGCTCCTATGGGGCTATTTAACACGGTAGTTGGCATCCCCCAAACTAAGTGATCCAAGAGTGAGAAAAAGCCAGACAGAACTATAGCACTTCTTATATCCTGATATGATAAGTAATTATCACTTTTCTTCCACTGCTGGGACTCAAACCCAAGGTCATGTGCACACAAGGCAAGTTCCCTACCACTGGCTCCATTACCAGTCCCACACTTACATCTATCGAAAGCCACTAGTCATAAAACCCAACACTGGTCTAATATGAGAGCAAACTGCGTAAGGGATGACTACCAGGAAGCAGGGGCTACTGGGGACCATTTTGGAGGCTGGCTATCACATCTCCAAAATACACATAGATTTTCCTCACTGTCTTCTGACTACTGGCTCCAGGACATCCTCCGTACACACACACCACATACCAAATCTACAGTATTTGCACATAACCTACCCATATTCTCTTGTATACTTTAAATCATTTCTTGATTACTTATAATAACTAACAATATGTAAGTAATTGTTACACTGTGTTATTTACAGGACAATGATAAGGTATAAAAAAGCCTGTACATTTTCAGTGCATATGCAACTATCATAGGCCTATGTTTTTGGGGTGGGGGACCAGAGATCAAACTCAGGACCTTGTGCTTGTGAAGCAGGCAGTGGAACCACTGACCTAAATCTCCAGCCCCCTAACTACATTTTTTTAACCTTTTTTTTTTTTTTGTACTGGAGATCAAACTCAGGTCCTTGCGCTTGCAAGGGAGGCGGCAGCACCACTGAGCTAAATCCCCAGCCCCCTAACTACATTTTTTTAACCTTTTTTTTTTTTTTGTACTGGAGATCAAACTCAGGTCCTTGCGCTTGCAAGGGAGGCGGCAGCACCACTGAGCTAAATCCCCAGCCCCCTAACTACATTTTTAATCTTGGACTGGTTGAATCTGCAGATGCAGAAGTTGCAGATATTCTGGGCCAGTTGTGACAAAACTATGGCACAGATGCCACAGTGGGCTGAAAACTCTAAAAGGTTCACCATTGCTGCCCTGGGCTGACTGTGTCCCCAGAACTTAAGGGTGCAAGTTTCCAGAAATGAAAAATCTCTTCTTGCTTACCATATAATTAGCCCACACAACAGACATCATCATAAAATATCAAACATTGAAGAGCCCATGAGTTCCCAGATAAGTTTAAAAAGTCAGATCAAAGAATCGATAATCAGAATGGCTTCAAGACTTCTCAAGTGCAGCATTAGAAACCAGAGAACAATAAAGAATGACTTCAAATCTTGAAAGAAAATGATTTGCAAGTTAGAATTAAACCAACCAGAATGGAAAGCATTGGAGGAGAAACAAGCAGATTTCTGAAGCTGGAAAGTAGATGAAATACACACACACACACACACACACACACACACACACACACACACCTGAATCCTAAGGCTGACAGTGGAGAAAGGAAAAATGCATTAGCACAAGAAATTTCCAGAAACGGAGGTGTAGGAAGGGGGCACTCAGAGAAATATACTTCAAGTACTAAGCCTTTTCAATTCTGGAAATGTATGGTCCTAAAAGTGTAGCTATACCAGCCAAACTCTCAATGAAGTAAGAGAACAGAATGCATGTATTTTCAATCATGCTCGGGAAGCTAGCAGAAGATGTGCTCTATTAAAATAGGAGGATAAAGATATAGAAAGTGAACAAGAAATGGGTGTTTCCAACCAAAAAAGGATAAAAGGAAGTCCTGGCATGGTGGTAGAGGAGGGCACCAGGGTGACAGCTGGGTGCCAGGCTGAAGGGACAGCCAGGGTGAAGCAGAACAGGCCTGGGTCCCCAGGGAGAAGGATTTTTCAGGGGTGACAAAACTAAAAGGACACTTAAAGCATCACAATGTCTTCGGGGAAATTTAGATACTTGGCAAAGAGTCTGAAGTTGAACTTGTCTAAGTGCACAGAATACTAAGCAAACAACAACAAAATACAATTATTAACTCCTGGGGGAAGAGATGAGAGAAAGGATAGAAAAAGCAATCATAGCTTCTAATATGGCTCAGCTGTGACTAGAGTTTACATAGTCATAATAATGTAAACACCATTGACCGAATCAAAATTATGAAATAACTATAATGAGAGAGAATAGATGGACAAATTGAAAAGGTAACCCTCAGAACAGAAATATCTAGCTATAATAATAAAGACTAGAGATGGATGCTACATACCAAAATAATCAACCAAACTAAGTGAGATGATGTCTGGGATGTGGAAATAGGGGATTATTATATCTTTGTAGCCAATTTCCTGAAGCCCTTTGTCTTGTTAATTGCACATGCATTACTTGGATTTTAGAAAGATTAACGTGCAGCAAATGAGAAGTGGCAGGGTCCAACCGTTCATTCATTCAGCAAACATTTAATAGGCATCAATTGTATACTAGAGCCCCAGGGGATATGGAAAAACACAACAACAAAAAAAGAGGCAGTTCCTGCCCTTTCTGGCTCACAGTCAGTGGTTTCTCAAACCACCCAGGGGGCAGCGGTCCAGTCTTCTCAAACGAGCAGGTTTTTGAGGTAAGAGGATCCCCAGACACCTGCTGGTCTCACGTGTCAAGGACTATGACTGCTGGTTTCTGGTTCCTTTCCCCTGGGTGTAGAACCCTCAACTCTCAAAGCATGATG